AAGCTCTTCAGCTCAAAGCAAGAGCTCTACCACTCGATCACAGCGCCACTTCCGGTTTTCTGGTGATTAATTGGAGATAAGAGTCTCTCAGACTTTCCTTACCCAGGCTGGCTTTGAACGGTGATCCTCAGATCTCAGCCTCCTGAGTAGCTAGGATTACAGGCGTGAGCCACCAGCACCCTGCTATATATTATTTAGTATAACCATGAAGAGGCACACAAGGCATTGCATGCTTTTGTGTTTCTCTCCTAAGAGTATCCTCTTCTAGAGAAAGAATGTTTTAAAAAAACCAACCAAACAACCAGCCATCCACAAAGCCAGAGAAATGACTTTACAGCAGTAGCAGCCAGGGCTTCCTGTGGCCAGATGTTGTAGTTGGGACCTTCTCCCCAGAAGAGGTGAAGTCACATTGACCACGCCTAATGCAGGCTGGATAGAAAAACTAAAAAGTGGCCAGGACAATTCTCTTGCTTGTTTGTTTTGTTTCATTCCCACAAGAGACTGTTATTCTTACAAGCTAGATACCAGGCTTGCCCACAAGACTTATTGATAACCTTTCAAACCCGAAGGAAAATAAACTCACAGTGGAAACTCACTCCATTTTTGAGGGCTTGGCTTGAATGTGTGATGACCCAAGATTGTGATTTGACATTTGATCCCCTCCCCCAAAGATAACAAATATATCAGTGCCCAAACCACATGCATATTAGAAACACTTGTCTGATTCCCCGCCCTCCCCCCCCACTTCCTCTCAGTAATATGAAGGGCTTTGTCATAAATAAGCTTGTCAGGAATTCTTTTCAGGAAACTTAAACCACAGTTCCAGTCTTGTCAATTCAACACATTCTCCAGAAATGTTTGGGTAACCTTTTGAGCCTGTTGCTCTAGTTAGAGGTGTTCCCAGACCTTCCACTTAAATTCTTTCCCACTTTGAAGGTCATTATGACTTTGCGAGACGAGGCTTACTTCCACTGGGTTGAGTCACACATCTGTATGACAGCAATGGCTCCTCAGTGCTGGGAGGAGAGCCCATGTGTGGGGTTGGCCATGGCTGCCCACTAGGGGGCATCACAGGGGGTGGTAGAGCTCAGCCTGTGGAGTCCAGGTCCAGGTGTGAACTGGGCAGCCAGGAGGGTGGAAGGCACAGGAGTTTGTCCTGTGTCCCAACCTGCCAGATGTGGTCCACCCAGACTTGCTCGCAGGAGAGCGCCTCACAGCTGGGCACTACCCCACCCCCCATGTTCCTAGGCAACAGGTGCCCGTGTTTAAAACAAAAACTTATAGAAAAATGATCTAGGCAGTGATTGTATAATATATCTTATATAAATATAAAATAACTTAAATATATATAATGTATACTATAAATAGTATGTATACTTTTCTTATTCTGGGCAGTTGTGGGGCTTGAACTCAGGGCCTAGGCATTGTCCCTGAACTCTTTTGCTCGAAGCTAGTTCTCTACCACTTTGAGCCACAGCTCCACTTCCAGTTTTCTGGTGGTAATAATTGGAGATGAGAGTCTCACGGACTTTCCTGCCTGGGCTGGCTTTGAACCAAGATCCTCAGATCTCAGCCCCCTGAATTGCTAGGATTACAGGCGTGAGCCATAGCGCCTGTATAATAGAATCTTAAGAGGTATAAAGGACTTGGGGATCATTGAATCTAATGCCGACTCCCCTCTGCCTCTCCCCGCCCCCCCACCCCCAGATAGAAAAGAAGCCACAGTGGGAAACGCCTTCCACTGGGTAAACCTTCAAAGCCAGGTCTTGGAATGGATTTTAGTCCAATGCTCTTTTTCCTCTATCTCTTGGGGTATGATTTGGGAAGAAAATAGCACCCTACTCAATCTCTTATATCACTGGATAGCTGTAGAGTTTCTCCAGAAAGCTTCCCGGAATATCTCTGTAGGCTGTGAGCGCCCAATCGAACATGCCATCACTCAGCTGGCCAAATGAGCTTGAAGAAAGCAGAGATTTTGAAGGGTATGACACCTGATACAGGAAAGCCTTTGTTGTATGGA